GGAGGTAGAAACTATTTACTTCCTGTCGTCAAACATTCCAAGCACATGCATACGAGAGGACCACAATCCCCTCTGCCTCCCTCCATTTGTTGTGGCGCGGTCTCGTCTCTAATCATTGTAACTTTGAACTTTTTTGGCTTATTGTTTCCAGATTTAGTCCAATAATCAATTGCATTCAAGTATTTCGCCAAATGAGTGCTCCATCCCTTACAAATAATATCTCTCAAATCAGACAATGGTATGTAATTTAACATGCTGTCATACACTATTGTCTTCAGGGATGAGAGCTGAATCTCGATGAGAAGCCAATGACGATGTTCCAAAACAGGGATAAACACCTGGAATCATAAATAATTACGCACATCAAATAAAAGATGTTCCAAAACATGGATAAACACCTTTAAAATATTCAAAAAATAAATACTAACCTTATCGACCTCCCACCACACAGGATAAAGTTTAGTTTTTCTATTACGCAACATATATGAAACATCTCTCGGATCCTTCAAGTGAGCTACGTGAAAAGACGTCATCATAATAGTCCATCGAGTATTTTTTATTTTCTTCAATTTCCTTATTATTAGAAGATGTGACACCAATGCATCAATTTGTTGTTTTATAAAAAAAATATATTAGTGAATTTATTAATAAATTTAAAAAAAATTAATCAAAATGCAATATAAGAAGAATATAAGACTTACCACCCTTTCGAGATAGTCATTATCTTCAACCCCTAATAAAATACCCCACCAAGACCGATCAAGAAACAAATGAATAACATCGTCGAGTTTGCATATGTCAGATAACACCCCTTGCTCCGTTCATGTAGATAAAAATCAACTGCGGTCTTAGCCCAAAGGGTATTATCCGTAATTGTGTTCGGTAGTGTTCCCCTCTCCTGCTGAGGAATGGTACTGGCCGGTAACACATAGGAAAGCCAACTCGTATCCATCATATCGGGCATGAGAGGGGGCTTATCAATATGTTGAAATATGACGCCATGTGAATCGGCTTCTTGAACAGTGGGAGGGGCCTCTTGAACGGTGTGAGGGGCCTCTTGAACGACAGGAGGCACCTTTTGAACGATGACAGGTGCATCGTGATTCTTCTTACGAAGTCTTGGCACTAGTGGGGTGAAAGGAGACGTAATGGAATGTGCACGACGTCTGATGCGTGAACCCTGTCGTGCAAGAAAAACCCGACGTAAAGCATCTACCTTATCGGGCCGCTGAAAATAAATTAATACATAAATCAGTAAATAAATAAATAAATAATATCGAAAAAATGTTATTTGCATTTTTAGTATAGTATTAAATAAATTTACCTCATTGCGTAGAGTATGAACCTCATTCTACAACGATGAAACAATATCACGTAGAGCGGCTACCTCATCACGTAAAGTAGATACCTCACCACGTAGCGCACCATTGTCATCGCCTAAAACGTCCACCTCACCACGTAAAAACCGTACCTCATCACATAGCGCACCTTTGTCTTCACGTAAAGTACCGACCTCATGACGCAAAGCACCGACCTCATCACGTAACTCCCCTAACTCATCCCGTGGAGGTAGAGAATAGGGAGATAAATGTCGTGGCCTCTTTTTCGGTCGCCTATCATGAGGTGATGGTAGAGACGAGGCTCGATGATGTGATGGAATAAGTGATGGTGGAGGTGGAGAAGAGGCTCGATCAGGTGATGGCTCCGGGTGTCGAGCTGTAGAATCGGCCTGATCAGGTGATGGCTCTCGAAGTAGGGGGTGCTCATCATCCGTCCCATCAAAAAACCGCTTACTAGCTTGCCACCAATCAGTGGCAAGCTCAGCCTCTGTGGGTGTAAGCCTCTGTAATGGATAGTTGGCCTCCTAACAATATAAAAGCTCCAACAAAGTTAAACGTGTACTAGTAATAACTTGTTTATATATGGTAGTATTTATGTGTTAACTTACATCATTCATCGTCGTATATGATAGTAACTCTTCCCAATCCAATAGGCAGATCCTCCTCCAGGTAATAGCCTTAGGAATATCATTTGAATTTTTTATCGCATATGTCCGCATGCTGGGGAAAGCCTCAAATATCCAAATCTACAAACAATATAATAAAAAAACATCAGTAATTGTAAATAATTAATTATAAATTTGGAAACATTATATAGAAATTCTTACCTTAAAGGCCCAAATAAAGCCTGCCAAAGTGTATTTAGAACCATCGCCCTGCAAACTTTTTCAGTCCTCAAAGGTAGACGACAACTTCTTCCAGGTAGCTTTCCATAGATATGAACCCCACGGAAACAGGTTTCATGCATTTAGTTCATCTACCAATAATATTAGGTCCTCATAAATAGGTTGTCTGCCCTCTTTGCCTAAAAAGTCGGCATGCAAAAGTAATAAATAGCATACTCGGACAACATCAAGTCATCCATCCGAGTAAAACCATCTTTAACAAATAATCTCTTCAAGTCGTTGACATGTAAACTCGGCTTCGACTTTGCCAGCTCAGGAAAAACCCGAGATAACCATGATGGGCAGGAGATATGACTAGTGTACCAGGTTACTTCATCGTGTCCGAAGCGTAGACCGGTGATTAAGAAAACTCCTCCCGTCTAAAACAAGTATACGCCGAAGGAAAATGAAACCACATCTCTTCATCACCACGTTGTATCCTCTCGGGTAGATCATTAGTCATGGTCTGAAGAAACAAATGTGTCAACATAGCATCTCCACCCGGATGTTGTACTTTCAGTCATGGCCCAAAGCAAGTATCCTCAAATAATTTTCTTTGTAGAGGTGTAAGCGTCTACGCAATGTGGCTAGGCTTAATTTATTCCTTAAGGTTAATTGAGCTGAAAAAAAATTTCTACAAAAACAATAAACATACCAAGTTAGATATACCAAAAACAACAAATTATACACTATAAATAGGCATGATATAAACAGTGAAAACAAAGCCAAATATAATTCAAACTAGCACGGTATTCACCCAAGTCATTATTCCATCATAGTTCACAAAATGCATCAGATAACATTCCAAAAGTAAGCACTTATAAAACATTTAAAAGGATAACATATAGGTTTAGTGCAGGTTCAAGGACAACATAAAGAGTAGTAGTTTATTCTTGAAACTTAAATTCGCAACACTGTGAAGTTAGTATTTGTCTTTGTTTTTTGGTTGAAGTAATGCAATTCATTCAAGTTTCAATTTGCAGAAGAAGAGTAGTTTCTGAAACTTAAATTCGCAATGCGAAAATGAAAATCGCAACGCGAAAATGAAAATCGCAACGCAAACATGAAAATCTCAACGCGAAAAAAGAAAATTGCAACGCGAAACTAAATTTGCGTTGCGATTTTCATTTTCGTGTTGCGAATTTAAGTTTCAAAAACTATTCTTCTGCAAATTGAAACTTGAATGAATTGCATTTCTTCAACAAAAAGATAAAACAAAGACAAATATTAACTTCACATGTTTAAAGACTAAACAGTTTAGCAGTATTGGCAGCAACCGAATGAATTTACTAAGCAATCTAAGTGAAATGGTTAATCTATATATTGAAATTACCAGTAAATTTATCATCAATATAAGAAAAATCTAATAATAATACAAAAATTTCAAAATAAAAATAAGAGATTAAAAAAACTAACCCTCGATGGTAGATTTTTCATTTCTGATTGTGAATGGTTGTGAGGGTTGCTATGAGAGATGGAGATAGACGGATTTCGTCGGAGATGGGGACGGATGTCGCTGTAGAGAGTGAGAGATGGAGATGGGATTGAGTTGTTATTTAGGGTTTTAGGTTATGATTTGCGATAATATCGTTTACATTTGTGCTGCGAAATTAATATTGCGAAAATAAACGCGCTTTGACTTCTGTGTTGCGAATTTGACTTATGTGTTGCGAATTTGGAAACTGTGTTGCGAAATTGGAGTTCGCGTTGCGAATTTGTTGGTCATTTTCGCAAATCCAAAAAAAGTTGGTTAAAATCGTATATTATAAGACATTTTCGGTCACTGAGGCTATTTTCTCTAGTATTTATGTCTCTTTTCGATTTTGATCCGGAAATTGTATTTAAGTAATAAAGTTCAGTAAAAATATTTGAATAATCTGATCGAATTAGAAGTTTGAGAAATTTTGAAGGATGATAAAATAAGGTTAAAATATTATTTCCATATTTTAGAATGGTGAAATTTAACTTGGATAATTGAAATTAAGATTTATTTTCCACGTTAAACCTATCTTGTTTAATTATGGTGACTAATTTGTAATTTTTGAAAATTACAAGGATAAAGTGAAAAGTATGAAAAAATTTATTCATGTTTGACTTTGAAGATGATGTCATGGTAATGGCAAAGTGAAAATTATCATGTTCCATTAATGGAAAATTGGTAATTTTCAATTAAATAGATTTTTAATTTATTAAATTAGCTTTATAAGATAAATATTAGGAGATTTTTTGTTAGAAAAATTAAGAAAAACTCTTCATCTTCTTCCTTTCAAACCGTGACCTCCAAGGATAGGTGAACAAGCTTTCTTTTTAATTTTTTAAGTCATTTTAGTAGGTTTTTGGATTAAGACATAAAATATCTTTTGACAATTATATCCATTTATAAGTTCAAAATCATTCAAAAATTTCAGATCGTACATATATTTATAACACACATTAAACATACATAGACTCACAAGACATTATATTTTTGGATTATATGAACTCTACTAAGAATAGAAATGTATATGTATTGCAATTGGCGAGGAATGCGGAGCTTGGAAATAATGGATCGAGGAGCAAATAAAAAATAGGGATTTAAAAATAATGATTAATGGAGGTAGGATCGGAAATTGAATGGCAAAGGTGATGATGGAATTTAGAAAGAAGATGGCGTGAAAGACAGGTAGGGCGCAACTTTAGCTGTTCTCCTCTTCAGATTCTGACAGCAAAAGCACATGACACAATTAGTAACAATACATTAATCCCTGTTTCGGGCATGGTTTTAACTTTGGGCAAACACTGAACGAACAACAGCTCAGCTCCCATCGAATTTGGAGAAACAGAGAAAACCCCCCAAAAAAGAGAGGAATGAATGATCAAATATAGCCGATTGATAGACAAAAAAAAAAAAAAAAACAGGTAGAGAAAGAGAGCGTGGCCGTTTCAACAGTCACCTCTGCTTCTCAAACAACTTCCGGTTGGCCGCTCTCTGATTACTTCCTCCCTCAATTCTGATTGTTTCTCCAGAAAAAGTAAAAGAAGAAAAAAGGAACAGAGCAGAAATCCCAGAACCCCCCCCCCAAACATTTCTTTGTTAATACCCAATTGAATTTAAGCCTGCTTTACCATTATGTTGCCAGCTTCTGTATTCTAAGCTGTGGTGTTCTGCAGGTAAATTTGTTTTATCGTTCATTTTTAGTTTTTTTAACGCCCATTTCTAGATCATCAGTTTTTGTCTTTGGGTGGTCTGAAACCTTGTTGAATTCTTCCCTTTGATCTTGACAAAGATGCATCGTAAAAAATTTTCCACAATGCGTAGTTTAAGGGTTATAGATAAATGTAAAGGCACGCAAGTTTATGCTCTTAACAACACCGGTGGTGGTGGTGAGGATGCCGGTGAAAAACTCTTCCACCAGCTTCAGGACCATCTTAGGGTTAATACGGTTCGACCTAAATCTATTAACAATGGCCAACCTTCTAACGTGAACCTTGGTTTTGTAAATGAGACCCTGCTTCCTTATGGCCTCCCTGTCTCCGATCTCCTCGAGCCCCCCATCGAACCATGCCTAAAGTTCGTCGATTTTATAGGAACTCTAGCTGATGTGTACCGCAGGATAGAGAGGTGTCCTCAATTTGAGAAATCTGGAATGTATCTCGAGCAATGTGCAATTTTTAAGGGCTTATCAGATCCGAAGCTTTTACGGAGGACTCTTCGAGCTGCCAGGCAACATGGCGTTGATGTGCATTCGAAGATTGTTTTAGCAGCGTGGTTGAGGTATGAGAGGAGGGAGGATGAGCTTGTTGGTACAAATTCAATGAATTGTTGTGGAAGAAACATTGAGTGCCCTAAGGCCACCTTGATAGCTGGTTATAACCCGGAGTTTATTTATGATCCTTGTAATTGTTCTAAGACTCCTCGAAGCAAAATTGAGGATGACTTTTCTATCGAGGATGGAGAGTGTTCAACTTCTGATGATTATGGGGATATGTCATTTTTCATTGGAGATGATGAGATTAGGTGTATACGGTCCAATATTGCATCGTTATCAATACCTTTTAGGACATTGTTGTATGGTGGTTTCAGGGAGTCTAAAAGAGAGGAGATAAATTTTACCCATAACAATATTTCAGTAGAGTGTATGAAAGCTGCTGAATTATATAGCAGAACCAAAAGATTAGATTCTTTTGATCCACGGATTGTTTTGGAGCTTCTTTCTTTCTCAAATAGGTTTTGTTGTGACAATTTGAAGTCTGCTTGTGATTCTTATTTAGCATCTTTGGTAAATGATATGGAGGATGCACTGTCTTTAATTGATTATGGATTGGAGGAAAAAGCGCATCTTCTTGTGGCAGCTTGCTTGCAGGTCTTTTTAAGGGAGCTCCCAAATTCAATGCATAGTCCTAATGTGATGAAATATTTTTGTGGTCCGGATGCAAAGGAAAGATTGGCTTTAGTTGGGCATGCTTCCTTTTTGTTATATTTCTTCTTGAGCCAAATTGCGATGGAGGAAGATATGAAAGCTAACACTACTGTGATGCTTCTAGAAAGGTTGGCAGAGTGCGCAACGGAAAGTTGGCAGAAACAACTTGCGTATCACCAGTTAGGTGTTGTGATGTTTGAGAGAAAAGAGTACAAAGATGCTAAAAATTGGTTTGAGACAGCATGCGAGTCTGGTCATATATATTCAAAAGTGGGCGTAGCAAGAGCCAAGTTCAAGCGGGGCCACAGGTATTCAGCTTACAAGATTATTAACTCACTCTTCTCAGAATATAAGCCAGTTGGGTGGATGCATCTAGAACGTTCTCTGTATTGTGATGGGAAGGAGAAGATGTTGGATCTAGAGATGTCTACAGAACTGGATCCAACACTTTCTTTTCCATACAAATATCGAGCTGTTTCACTGTTGGAGAACAACAAGATTGGAGCAGCCATCTCAGAGATTAGTAAAATAATCAGTTTCAAGGTATCCCCCGATTGCCTTGAGTTACGTGCCTGGATTTCGATTTCCATGGAGGACTATGAAAGAGCTTTTAGAGATGTTCGGGCACTTTTGACTCTGGAACCTAATTACATGGTGTTTTATGGGAAAATGCATGGTGACCACATGGTGGAGCTCCTACGTCCTTATGTTCAACAGTGGAGTCAGGCTGATTGCTGGATGCAATTATATGACCGCTGGTCTTCTGTCGATGATCTTGGTTCCCTAGCTGTTGTACACCATATGTTGGCAAATGACCCTGGAAAAAGCCTTCTATGGTTCAGGCAATCTCTCCTCCTTTTAAGGTAACGTGACAAAATCTTTCACTGATTGAATAAAATGTCCTTTTGCTGTCTCTGTTGAATTGAAATTTCTTATAGATTTGTTCTAATAGATTAAAATTTGTTTACTCAATGGAAGAACTGCATTATTGCTTTTTAGTGAAGGTGAACTTCTTTGTGCCCTTGTATAAATGACTGTTCATTTTCCTTTTTGAACTGGATCTAAGATTAACACTATGAACATATGATAAGACAAGCGATGTTTTCTTCTGTATTATTTTGAGATGTAGGTATCTTGCCTTCAAGGTGATACCATACGGTATGTTATGGAAATCTGATTCATCACTATGTGCAGCCTGATTACCACTATTAGGAGATGTAAAGTAACCCCCATTCCATTATTTTCATAATGGTTCTTGGCCTCAAATATTCTGTTGTAAATGTTTGAATTCCATTCATCATTTTCTTCCTAGTATTAACACAGTATTTTTTGAGGTTAACTCTTCTGTATCAAATGTGTTGTACTTGTCAGTAATCTTAGTAATTGAACTTGCAATTTCTAACGATGGCACATGAGGTTGTTTCTCAATGGCATTGATCCGGATAAATGGGGCATATAAATTCTTTCTATACTACTTTAGTTTAATTAAACATTGACAGAATGCAATATTCTGTTCACCTTGATATTCTATCAGTTCTAACTTCTAAGTGTTTGCTGCTACTCAATACTGTAGGTTAAATTGTCAAAAGGCTGCAATGCGTAGTCTACGGTTGGCTAGAAACCATTCAACCTCAGAACATGAAAGGCTTGTCTATGAAGGATGGATATTGTACGACACAGGCCACTGTGAAGAAGCGCTAGCTAAAGCAGAGGAGTCAATCTCCATCCAGAGATCATTTGAAGCTTTCTTCCTCAAAGCATATGCTTTAGCAGATACTAATCTTGATCAGGAGTCCTCAGCGTATGTTATCCAACTTCTTCTGGACGCTCTTAGATGCCCTTCAGATGGACTTCGGAAAGGACAAGTGAGTACTTTTGGAGCAATTCTAACTCCAGCTATATAGTTCTAATAAAACTTACCTCTATAAGTGCAATGAATTGGTTTTGGGTTCTGAGTGATTCCTTATTTCTGCAGGCACTGAATAATTTAGGTAGTGTGTATGTGGACTGTGAAAAGCTAGATCTTGCTGCTGACTGTTACATGAATGCACTGAACATTAAGCATACACGGGCACATCAGGGTCTAGCTCGTGTATTTCATCTCAAAAATCAGCGTAAAGCTGCATATGATGAGATGACTAAGCTGATAGAGAAGGCACGCAACAATGCTTCAGCTTATGAGAAGCGTTCAGAATATTCTGACCGGGACATGGCAAAGAGTGATCTTGCTATGGCTACACAATTAGATCCCTTGAGGACATATCCATACAGATACAGAGCAGCAGGTAAATTCCTCGGCCACAGATGTGGCTACTTTTCCGCAATAACTTTTGTAAATTGCTGCATTCGACCTTGATTTTGCACTGTGACTCATACGCTTTTATGCTACATTTGGTTACATAAGTATTTAACACAATGAAAAACTTAATTATTACGTGAGTATAATAGTTGCTGTATTTAATCCATGAGAAATTCAAGTTCAGGTACGATAGTTGCTTGTTATTTATTCTCAATCCTGAATACCGAGGCCATATTTGCATATGGGGCTCGCTTTTTTCAGCCTCTGACATGGAATATCTGTCTTTCCAGTTCTAATGGATGATCACAAAGAAAATGAAGCAATTGTAGAGCTCACAAAACCACTAGCTTTCAAGCCGGACCTGCAGCTGCTACATCTTCGAGCTGCTTTCCATGACTCAATGGGTGATTATATGTCCGCTGTTAGAGACTGTGAAGCAGCCCTATGTCTTGATCCCAACCATGCCGATACTCTCGACCTATATAATAAAGTTTGTGAGCATGTTAAAGAGAAAAAGTGAGAAAGTCAGAATCCCCGTAGTCATCTTCTCTCTCCATAAACCCCTCTGGGCAACCTGATTTTCGCCACCCTTTTTCTTTCGAGTATTTTTTGTTTAATTACTAGGAAGGGGCACCGTAATTGCTGGATAGGTCCCTGGGAAATTCAGAAGCACTGCCATGAAGATATGGAACCTCGAAGGAGAGAAAGGATAGTGTTTGGTGTGATAGAAAATGAGAAAATTAATGGACAAGATAACTTGTAAATATTTTTCTGTATTAAGGATTGGACTAATATATATGTAAAACGTCCAGGCATATTGATGCTGCTACTGCGTGCTGCCCTTTGTATTACTCTTCAAGGGGCCTTTGCAAATGCAACTGTCAAAAGAACAATGTAAATGAAACTGCAGAAATCAATCCAGTCTGGAGATTTTACACTGTTACCTTTTCTTTTTCGAAATACCTTAGGTATTCTAACTCTTCTAATCCAGAATGTTGTCATTGTTGTTCAAGCTTGAAATTTTCTTGAAAAGAGGTTCATTCTCAAACAGTCTACACTTTTATATTTTATATACATGCTATTTGTCTATTTGTTCTGTTTTATAAAAGCTTGCTATATTAAATAATTGGCATAATGTTAAAATTAACCTCTATATAAACGATTATTTTGTCCTTTATTTTAACTTTTCGTTAAAATAATTTATATTAGACAAAATTAGTCAATACATGTTGAATGTTGATATTATATTTTCACGTGTTTAATACGTGATATATGTCTCATCATCACTTAAAATGATGTGACACATATCGTGTTATCACTTTAACTAATGTGATATATTTCATGATATCACTTTAGGTGATGATATATATCTCATCATCATTTCAAATGATATGACATATCATTTCATCATTTCGAATAAAGTAATATATTAGATCATTAATTTTGTTAAAATGACATATGTAACATTATTGTTTTAATGACATGATAAATGTCACGTCATAAATTAAACACATGAAAATGATATGTCCGAAACATAAATTAATCGTTAGTTAACTAACGATTTCTATCCTACGAAGATTATTTTGACAAAAAATAAAATTTTAGAAGTTAAAATATTTATAAAAAAAAAAAGAATAGACCAAAATGATCTCCATATAAAACGTTGAGGTTAATTTTGTCAATAGGACTCGGTAATTTTCATTCTATGTTAAAAAAAAGGAAAAAACAGGGGGGGGGGGAACAATATTTATTCTTTATTTTTCACCCCTATAAAGAATCCAGGAGCAACTAAACTCAAAAACTATTAACATCAAAGGGATAATAAAAGGAAATATGTCCTTTCTCTTGCCATAGCTACGAATTTGAGTGGTTTAACGTTCTGCCACATGGTTTTCGGATGATCCCAGGTTTCCAGCAAAGGTTAACGTGATGCTTCACTTTATGAATTCACCATAGAAGGGTAATGGACTTTTTTTTCATCCAACATGTGATCCTTATGAAGTGAAAAATATGGGTTTTAATACACTGCACGAGATCCCCATAGTTTCAGTTGCTTCACAATTATTTCAGACCACCACTTTTCTTCTTTCACATGATCATATGCATCTCAACTCACCTACTCCAATGAACCCTTCACTTCCAGAAACGATCTTTATCTATATGGGAGAAGGAATGAATGAAGCAATGGAAAGGAAACGCCCCAGAAAGCTCAACTTAAACGCACCATTCTTATCGACAAGGCGACCGGTTGCTGCTGTATACATTAGCGATGAAGTTTCATGCATCAATTCGAGTAACGGGATTCCGTTCTGCTGGGAACAGGCTCCCGGAAAGCCGAAGAACTCGGAGAGAAGTAACCACGTCGATGAAGCCGAAACGCCTCGCCCGAAACCCCCACCAGGCAGATGGCTTCCAGTACCAAAAGAGGCAACTAATGGGGATTATGGTCACAGTCATGATCACCATGACGAAGGTTGCGATGCCGATGTGGACCACTATGATAACGATGACAACAACGACGTATTCTCGGACGCCGCCGAAGTCTTATCACTAACGGAAGCAATAGACATCGTTGAGAAAACAGAAAAGCTCCACCATGAATCATCAAAGGGCTTAGAGCCTAGTGAAATGGATGGCATGAACTTAGCTATGAGTTTAGAGCACAGTGATTGTCCATCTCCAAGTTTCATAATCGAACGCTTTCTTCCGGACGCCATAGCATTGGCTGCATCATCTGCTCTAAGCATGTCCAAAAGAAAGCTTCCTTACTTATGCAATTACTTGGATCAGTCACCTTGTGTTTCCCAAGCAGTAATAAAACGATCATCACTGTCTTCTTCCACAAAGCGTTGTGGGCTTGAAATGCTGTTGCCATGGCGGATGAAGCACAGGCTTTGTAGCGTAAGAAATCCAATCAAGGAAAGGCCAAACAATATTATGCAACCAAAAGCTAGTGCAAAGCAGAAGAAATTGTTGTCATCAATTGTAGCGGATTCTGCTGAATGGAGATGTAAATAATAGAGGTTTGCTTTTGCTATGTATAGACATATAGTGCATGTAAAGGAATGATTAGATGTACTTTTGGGATCTCATTTATTTTTTTTATGAGCAAATTTGTTAGTTGTAGAAATTATTTCAATTCAAATATATTAATTTAAATAATAATTTATTATTCTACTCTAAACTTAATTAAATGAATAAAAATTTAAAATTTATGAAATTAATTTTCAAATTATTATTATTCCTTCCATTACACATAAAATTACTATTACTTAAATAAATGATTTTTACAGTCTATTTTTCAATCATAATTTTTCTTTTTATTCGTAATTTAATCAAACAATCTATTAACAATATGACATAAGATAGCAAAGGGATCATTCAAACTTATATAATATAGATTAAAATAATATGTATTTATTTTTAAACTTTTCGCCAATTAATTACATCTTCATTATAAGTCGTATGGAGAAAAAATTATTACACAAAATAACAATCATTTATCCTTAACGATGATTATATGGTCGTGTTTCATTTTCGTAAACCATTACAATCTCGGATGTGATCATACTCAAGTATACTCTTGTTCATCATTCTTCTCAGTCTTTATACTCTTTACATGGAGCTTTTTCTTTCTTATATCTTGTTATTGTTATGCTAACTCTATCATTCAAACCATTCTATACCTTGATTGTTACGTTTTGCATATCATGCATTATTATATTAATGGCATACTTTATAATATGCATCTTATATTAAAACTCATGTTCATGTACCTTAGTCCTTATATTATGCGCATTACATGAATGGTTATAAGTCCCACATCTTTATAATATTAGCTAGCTTTGTCATTCATATTTCATGTTACACGTCTTTTACCTATGTTTGCATATCATTTGCATACCTAGCATAGGAGTGCATCATGTCTCATTAATGTTCCTTGTTGGATATATGAACAGCAAAACTACACCGTTAGCACTGACTGGAAATATAAACAGTAATTAAAAGGAACAAATTCGTAAACCGTGTCGTGGTAAAAACCACTGCCTTAGAAACGAGTTCACCCCGATGTGTGTAATCGCTGCAGTAGGCGGACTGTCTCCCGAGGTTAACACGGTTGCTCCGAATTCCGTACACCCAAAACCGGAGTGGACTACTGGTGGCTCTTCTGATTGGAAAGCACTCAGAGAGAACTCACAGAGAGAACTGTAGAAAACACTTTTGTAAGTGAATTCTGATTGGAAAGCACTCAGAGAGAACTCACAGAGAGAACTGTAGAAAACACTTTTTTAAGTGAATTGTGAATGTTTGAGAGTGAGTTGAGAAGCTGAATATAGCTCTCTATTTATAGGCTAGAAATAGGGTTAATATCATCCATAAAATTTCAGGATTAAATCTCTTCTTTTGTAAAAGCTGAAACGTCTAGATGAACCTGACTCAAAAATAGTCCAGGTTCATTGCATCATTATTCAGCTGTTATAACTCCTAAAATTATATCATGTAACCCCTGAAATTAAATCAAATAACTCTTGTAACTCCTGATATTAACAGCTTGTCTCCTCTGTACAAAGCTGGAAATCAGTCCAGATACATCTTAACGTTTTTTATTTAATTTAGGAAAAAGCTGTTTAATTTCTGATAACTCTCATAAACCAGCTGTTATCATTTGAAATTAAACAGTCCTTAGCAGCCTATAAATATCAGTTGAAATCTTTCACATTTTTCTATTTGTTTCTTTCAAAGAGAAATTCCTCAAGAATTTTCTCTAAAAAGATAGTATCCACGCGGACGTGTCGAAGACACGTATTACCACAACCACGACCACGACTACGAGCCGAGCCGAGCCGTGCCGTGCCGTGTCGAGCCGAGCCGAGATGGACAGACGGCGGCGGCGGTGCGCGAGAGTCCCCCTTGTTCTCTATCACTCAACAAGGAAGTAGGAAAGTCAAGCCTTAAATACCATTCCTAATAGTGTTTCCAATACTATGTGGGATTGAGCATTACCAACATTCCCCCACTAATGCGAAAGAAATATTATGAAACTCGAAAACAAACTTTCCAGAAGAGCAATAGCGAGATTAGTTGCTTAACCACTAGTGAACGTATCTGGAACTAGTACATAGTGATGATGAGCAATCCTTCTATTAGATAAGTGAAACTAGTCTGGAACTTTCTAAGATCAGGGTAAACTCATAACACACAACTAACCCCTTCATCCACCTGAGTCCTCGATGTGTAAGATATATATATACAAAGTATATATTTGGCCATCTTACCTCAGGATTCTAGTAAGTATACTAGAAAAATGGCCCAACATTTTTCATAGAAGGCAGCTAACCCTTCTCACTTACATAGGTTATTTCATCAAGTTTATCTCAACATAAACCACCCTTTAAAAAGGGATATGAAATAATTAAGAGCTTTTATAATAGCTCAACCTCACAAAGGGTATGATGACTTTCTTCAAGTTCATTATAAATGAACCACCCAAACTCTGGGCTAAGAAGTCATTAAGAATAAATATTCAACCTCATTTATCGGTAAATTCAGTAAGTCCTTCTCACTAGAACCATCCAAATACTTGGATTTGAATTTATTAAGAGTTTAACAAACTCAACCTTTCTGTAGGTAAGTTCATAATTTCATACCCACTCACTCTGGGTTATGAACTTATTAAGAATAGATATTCAGCCAAAATTGGTAAATTCATCAAGTCTTTCTCATTAAGACCACCCAAAGCCTGAGTTATGAATTTATTAATAACAATTAAGCTCATCCTGGGCATGCACATTATTCATCATAGGGATAGGCAGTAGGAATGTGCACTATGAGTCTTTCCATGGTTTCAATTGACCACATGGAACTTAGATAACTAAGTTGGGTATCCACCATGAATTCCTCAATCAATGGGCTTTAGACCCATCCCCCTTGACGAATCTAAGACCAGCTTTCGACTTAACCCTTTGGTAAGTGGATCTGCTAGGTTCTTTTCTGACTTCACATACTCTAAAGAGAGCACTCCATTCTTTATTAAGTGTCTCACTGACTCATGTCTTATACGAATGTGTCTTTTCTTACCATTGTAAGCTTGGTTCTTAGCCACACATATTGTAGCTTGTGAATCACACAATAATGAAACTGGAGGAGTCGGTCTTCCCCACAACGGAATATCTGCTAATAAACTTCTGAGCCACTCGGCTTCTTGCCCAGCTAGGTCAAGAGCTATAAACTCTGACTCCATAGTAGAACGAGCAATACAAGTCTGCTTTGATGATTTCCACGAGATTGCTGCTTCACCCAAAGTAAAAACATAACCGCTCGTAGAGCTTACCTCATCATTATCAGAAACCCATTTGGCATCACAATATCCTTCCAGTACCACAGGAAAGCCAACAAACTCAAGTTTCCAATCCAAAGTACCCTTAAGATACTTCAGTAAGCGTTTAAGAGCAATCCAGTGCTCACCACTCGGATTATGAGTATATCTACTCAGTCTACTCACAACATAAGCAATATCATGCCGAGTATAGTTCATTAAGAACATTAAGCTTCCGATTAACTTAGCATATTCAGTTTGGGAAACGTTACTTCCTTTATTCTTAACTAGATGTATGCTAGGGTCATAAGGAGTTCGAACAGGGACGACATCAAAACTGTCAAATTTCTTTAGCACTTTCTCTATATAATGTGCTTGATATAAAGAAAATCCCTTATTAGTTTTGGTAACTTTGACTCCTAAGATTACATCTACTTCTCCCAAATCTGTCATCTCAAACTTAGTGGACAAGAAATTTTTAACTTTGTTAATGGACTCAATGTTAGAACTGAAAATCAACATGTCATCAACATAAAGACTTATGATAACATTCAGTGTCAAACATCTTCGAATACACACAAGCATCCGAACCATTCACAACAAAACCAAACTAAGAATAGTTTTATGAAATTTCTCATACCACTATTTAGGAGCCTACTTAAGTCCATAGAGTGACTTTTTGAGTCTACAGACTTTGCCTTCTATACCAGGTGCTTCAAAACCTAGTGGCTGCTCCATGTAAATCTCCTCATCTAGATCTCCATTCAAGAAGCATTCTTAACATCCATTTGATGTACCTGCAACTTATGAATAGAGGCTAGTGCAAATAATGCACGAATCATTGAGATTTTTGTAACGGGAGAATATGTATCAAAGTAGTCTAAACCAAACCTTTGAGTGAACCCTTTGACGACTAACCTTGCCTTGTACCGCTGAATCGAACCATCTGGCCTTAGTTTCTTCTAGAAGACCCATTTGTTGGAGATTGGTTTGAATCCCTTAGGCAAGTCAACTAATTCCCAAGTATGATTAGACATTATCGATTCTAGTTCATTATTAACAGCGCTTTTCCAAAAACTAGCATCGATAGATCTTATAGCTTCTTCAAAGTTTTAGGATACTCATCTAATAGAAAAATTTGAGCTATAGGATCTGAAATGGAGTCTAAATCATTTATCTTAGAAATAAAGGAAGTAATAAAGTCTGGTCCAAAAGAGGTTTCAACTCTTTGTTTTTTACTTCTTCTAGGCTCGAAATCAATGTTCAGAAGACCTAGCAGGATTACTAGAAGAAGTAGATGGAATATTCTATTTGTGTTTCAATATTCATTCTCGGTTCCTTTAAAGGAAAAGTATTTTCAAAGAAAACAGCATCCCTTGACTCACAAATAGAATAATCTTGTAAAATAATGAATCTGTATGCAACAATATTTGTAGCATACCCTATAAAACTGCATCAACAGTTTTAGGTTCGATGGTGGACTTCTTAAAGTCTAGAAAACCCACTTTGGCCAGATACCCCACACTTTCAGGTATTGTAAATTAGGAGCGTATCCTTTCCACAATTCATATGGGGTAGAATCTAATTTCTTATGAGGAACCCGGTTCAAGATATGAGTTGCCGATAGAATGGCTTCCCCCTACATGTTATCAGATAACCCTGAACTTATTAGTAAAGAATTCATCATCTCTTTTAAAGTTCTATTTTTCCTTTCGGCTATACCATTCTGTTGAGGAAAATAGGGGGCTTTCATGAATTATGCCATTCTTTTCACAAATTCCTTTTAAGAAATTAGATCCATATTCACCACCTCTATCAGATCTAACCCGTTTGATTCTCCTATCTAACTGATTTTCTACTTCTGCCTTATAAATAAGAATAAGTTTTCAGCTTCATCTTTAGTTCTTTGGAGATAACTTTTGTATATCTTGAATAATCATCTACAAAAGTTATGTAGTAGTGTTTCCTCCTTTACTTTCAGTGTTTCTAAAATCTGATCAGTATGAATGAGTTCTAACAGTTCAGTCTTTCTATTAGAAACGGTCTTAAAGTGAGGTCTAGTATGCTTAGCTTCTACACAAATCTCACATTTGTTAAAGCTAGTTGTGTCTAGTTTAGGCAGAACATTCATATTCATTAATTTTTTTAAGCATGAATATATTCACATGTCCTAATCTAGCATGCCACATATCAATGGATTCAACAATATAAGCAGAAGTGGTAGCTTTATTTTCATTAAATTGAGTTTCTATGACAAATAAATCATTGCTTAAAAACCCTTTCCCCACATAATCACCATTTCGGGAAAGTACAAGTTTATCTACCTCAAAAACTAACTTAATGCCTGCCTTATTCAGAGCCCACCACTTATCAAATTTCTACGCAAGATAGGTACATACAGAACATTATTTAAAGCTAGAGTTTTACCAGAAGTCAGCTTGAGTAAAACCTTGCCTTTGCCTAGCACTTCAGAACTGCTAGAGTTCCTCATGTACACACATTCACCAGTGTTCCCATCCTCGAACTCGGTGAAAAACTCATTCCTTGCGAAGAAATGCTTCGAAGCGCCAGTGTCAACTACCCATTCTGAATTGTTCTCCACCAGATTAACTTCTGAGACCACCACATGAATGATCTCATCATCTTCTTCTACAACGTGCATCTGTGGCTTGTTGTCATTCTGGCAGTCTGAGCGGTGTTGGCATTGGTAAGCTTTGTGGCTGGGTAAACCGCATACATAACACTTGAACGTCTCTTCCGGTTTGGCTTTCCTGACTTCTTGAAGTGGTAGCCTATGTGGTTTCGTCTTCTTGTCTTGATTCTCACGTTTCATGATCTTCTTAAATTTAGACTCAACCAAGTTAGCTTTAAAAGATAAATTACTCATAGAATTAGTAAGCTTATCTTTTAAACGGTTGGCTTCTTCAATCTTCATATGGCCCACAAGTTCTTCAAGCGAAATGTCTCTCTTCTTATGCTTAAGAGAGTTGCGGTAGTCGGACCAGGACTTGGACAGCTTCTCAATGAGTACATTGGCTTGCAGCACCTCACACATTTGCATCCCTTCAGCGATGATGTCAGCGACTAAGTTCTCATAGTCATGGACTTGATCCATTATTGGCTTGTCGTTTTTCATCTGGAATTTGAGCCATTCGCCAACATATTTCTTGATACTTGGATCGTCCGCACCATACTTTTTGTCGAGAGTGTCCCATATTGCCTTGGCACTCCTTTCTCTAAGGAACATATCAAATAGTTTATTTGACATGTGGCTGAGCAGATGTCCTCGTACCGTCTTGTTGTCTTTCTCAAATTTCTCGTAGATAGCGAGAGCGGCTGCGGCGGTTGCTAAGGTATCATCATTGAGGACCACATCTGCATCATTACGGCAGTTGGGGTTGGCGGCATGGTAGATGGTGGCTTGAGTAGCACGTAGTCAAGATCAAACTGCTTGAAGAATATCAGATTCTTTGGGACCACCTTCTATAATTCTTTCCATCAAGTGCATCGAGCTTGGAAAGATCAGGGATTAGTTTGCTCAAAGGTGTTGTCATGATTGCAGTATGGAATTCGTTTCTAAATTGTTGAATATATGAACTGCAAAACTACACCGTTAGCACTAACTGAAAATATAAACAGTAATTAAAAGGAACAAATTCGTAAACCGTGTCGTGGTAAAAAACCTGTTAAACGAATTCACCCCGATGTGTGTAATCGCTGTAGTGGCGGACCGTCCCCCGAGGTTAACACGGTCGCTCCGAATTCTGTACACCCGAAACCGGAGTGGACTGCTGTGGTATTGCTCTTCTGATTGGAAAGCACTCAGAGAACTCAAGAGATAACTGTAGAAAACACTTTTGTAAGTGAACTGTGAATGTTTGAGAGTGAGTTGAGAAGCTGAATATAGCTCTCTATTTATAGGCTAGAAATAGGGTTATATCGTCCATAAAATTTCAGGATTAAATCTCTTCTTTTGTAACAGCTGAAACGTCTAGATGAACCTGACTCAAAAATAGTCCAGGTTCATTGCATCATTATTCAGCTGTTATAACTCCTGAAATTATATCATGTAATCCCTGGAATTAAATCAAATAACTCCTGTAACTCCTGATATTAACAGCTTGTCTCCTCTGTACAAAGATGGAAATCAGTCCAAATATATCTTAACGTTTTTTATTTAATTTAGGAAAAGCTGTTTAATTTCTGATAACTCTCATAACCAACTGTTATCATTTTAAATTAAACAGTCCTCAGCAACCTATAAATATCAGTTGAAATCTTTCACAATTTTCCATTTGTTTTTCAAAGAGAAATTCCTCAAGAATTTTCTCTAAAAAAGATAGTATCCGCGCGGACGTGTTGAAGACATGTATTACCACGACCACGACCACGAGCCGAGCCGAGCCGAGCCGTGCCGACCGAGCCGAGACGGACGGACGGCGGCGGTGGTGCGCGAGAGTCTCCTTGTTCTCTATCACTCAACAAGGAAGTGGGAAAGCCAAGACTTAAACCATTCCCAATAGTGTTTCCAATACTATGGGATTGAGGATTACCAATATTCCTACCTTTATTTCTGTCTAACTTAATGTTTTCATATCTTTCATAGGTGAAAGGCTAGAATATAAAAGCTATGGCATTCATGGACAAAGATGATAGCTCATTCAGGTTAAATGAAATTCAAAGCTTATGGAGAGCTGAACTAGTTGGGAGAGTAGATGAACTAACAAAATGGAAGCTAAACCTAGATGGAAGGGAGTTGAGGACTAAGTAGCTGACTGACTAGTGAAGTGTAGCTAGCTGCAAGGGAGTTGGAGTATGAGCTGATGAGCTGGACTGACACTAGATACCTAGCTGAGGTCCTCGCTAGTCCAAGTCACCTAGCTAGCTAGCTATTCACCTCTCTTGGCGCCAAACTATCATGTGCAAGGCACACCAAAGTCGAACCATCATGTACATCCACAAGGGTCTGTGCCTTCATCTAGGCGCTAAAGATGAGAAGGCATCGTTATTCGGCCAAGAATGCTTCAAAATTTGCAATCGAACCACATATGCCTTCCAGCCATTACCGAACCAACATCATTATTCAGCCAAGGGGATGCAATGCATTCAAGACGCATTCCAACCGAACTAACATCCCATTCGGTCATGGGAAGACGTGTGTTTTAAAGGAAGGGCTAGCCGAATTAAAGTTTGACCGAATGGTGTGTGCATTAAAGCATGGTGATGTGCAAGTTTCATACTCTTAAGAGTTAGTATCGGGTTGATTCTCATTAAGCGTGGCGATGTGCACTAAAGCATAACCTTTAGCATGGTGATGTGCATTAAAGCATGGTGATGTGCAAGTTAGAATTAAGAGTTTGAATACTCTTAAGAGTTAGTAATTTATTTTCTTTAGGTAAAGATTGACAGATGTACAAGTTTAAAATTCAGTATAGAACTGGTCCTGGATTTTCTTCTATTTTAGGTTTTCAGTTTAATAGAAATATTTTTCTTCTTCATTTTCTTTCTTTCTACACCCAAGCATGATCTCGATCATGTTTGGCTAAAATTTTCTTTAGCTAATAGCTGAGCGAAGAGTCGATCCATTCTCGTGAGAATTGTAAAAACACTTCATATCTTCATATTTCTTTCTTGATTTTCGACAGACAAGGAGAAGTATCTGCTTTTCTTCATGCATCTCAATATCTTCAATCCAAGGAGTGCACATTGGTTTGATCAACTTTGTGATCTACAGTTAGGAGGAGAGTCAGCTTGTAGCAAATTCAATTCCTTAAGGTGGCGTTTGGTTGGATGAATCCCTTGGAATTGGTGGGAATTTGAATCCAATTCCACCACTTTCTCAGTTTGGTTCAGTTTTTCAAGGGAATTGGAATCTCTGATGGAATTCAATTCCATCAATGAGGGAAAGTGAATTCCATCCAAAATGGATGAAATTCAATTCCCTTGATGGAGGGAATTGAAATTTGACCATACTACCCTCATCATCCTTTGGTAACTTATTTATATATTAAATAAAAATATTTTTTATTATTTCGGGTCTAGTCGAGTTTTTAATTCATATATTCGGGTCGGTAGGGTCGGGTGGAACTTTATTTGGTCGGTCGGATCATGTTTTTTTAAGTGTGATATTCGGGTCAGGTTCAGGTTTAGGTGAAAAAAACCGGACCGACCCGAAATTATATATAATTCAGGTCGGGTCGGAATAAGTCACTGTTTTTATTAAATAAAATAATTTTTTATTATTTCTGGTCAGGTCGGGTCGGATTTTTAATTCATATATTCGGGTCGGGTCGGATGAAACTTTATTTTGTTCGGGTCGGGCTTTTTAAGTGTGATATTCGGGTCTGGTTTTTTAAGTGTGATATTCGGGTCGGGTCGGGTTTAGGATAAAAAAAACCGGATCGACTCGAAAATATATATAATTCGGGTCGCGTCGATTAAGTCTGTTTTTATTAATAAAAATTTTTTTTTATTATTTCGGGCCGGGTCAGGTCGGATTTCTAATTCATATATTCGGGTCGAATGAAACTTTATTTTGTTCGGGTCGGGTCGGGTTTTTTAAGTGTGATATTCGGGTCGGGTCTGGTTATTTTAAGTGCGATATTCGGGTCGGGTCGGGTTTGGGTTTAGGGTGAAAAACCGGATCGACCCGAAAAATATAAAATTCAGTCGGGTCGGATTAAGTCACTGTTTTATTAAATAAAAATATTTTTTTATTATTTCAGGTCGGGTCGGGTCGGATTTCTAATTCATATATTCGGGTCGGGTCGGATGAAACTTTATTTGTTCAGGTTGGGTTTGGGTTTTTTTAAGTGTGATATTTGGGTCGAGTCGGGTCGGGGTTTTTTAAGTGTGATATTCCAGGTCAGGTCGGGTCGGGTTTCGGGTTTAGGGTGAAAAAAAATCGGACCGACCCGAAAAAAAATATAATTTTACCTTATATATTTAAGAATAATTACAATAATACCCCTCTATATATAATTTTTTTCAATTAAGTCAATGTTTTTTATTGAATAAAAATAATTTTTTTCATTTTTTTTGAGTCATGTCGTGTTGAGTTTCTAATTATATTGAATCAAATAGTTTTTTGGTATATTTTTTGGTAACTAATTAACATACTCCGATTGAATGTATCGAAATATTGCTCTATCTTTTGGTAACTTATTACATATTTGATTGCGATGATTTTAACTTATAATGTTTATTAGCATGATTTTTTAATTTATTGAAATGAATAATCAATCAATAAAATGAAAATTTAATATTTTTTAATTTTATAATATATTTACTATATGTAAGTTGTAAAATAAACTAAATAAAAACAAAAAACAAGAAGGGTAATTCTGTCATTTTACATTACTGAAATCAATTCATCTGACATGTCTGCGAACCAAACAGAATATGAAATTGGATTCCAATTCCTACAGATTCTAATTCCTTCACAGATTCTAATTCCCTCATAAACATTCTAGCGAATCAAACGCCACTTAAGACTTAGCGACTGTCTGCTAAGGGAAATCAAGATCGGGTTTGATTCTCATTAAGATACCATAGTCCTAGCATGGGCTTTTCCAGTTCCAACTAGCATTGGCGTTAATATCGATAGTTGATATTAATCCAAACAAGGGCTAATTTTTAAGGATTAACTTTGGAAATCAGTTCACAAGAGAGAAGAGCAAGTTACAAGGGTTGGTCCTTATAGATCGTAACCGACAAGTATACAAAGTAAAATCTATTTCAGTGACCGAGACAGATTGAGGCGAAATGAATCTAGAGACTATCTTTCATCTTTATTATTTCTTTACAATTTACTTCTTCTATTTTTTTATTATTCATTTCGCCTTAATTTTATTTTATTTATTTAGTTTACTTTATTATTCAAAAAAACCCATCTTTTAATTCTTTTGTTTTTATAGATTTTTTGGTTAAAGATCAATTCAGATTGATATTAAAACTTTTGAATCCATTTGGACCAATATCCTTCTTCTCTATTCTACATTCTTAACATAATTATCCGAGAAAAAAATTAATTATTTGATAATTACGACGTTTGTCACAAAATATGTAAATCACACACGTATAATCCTACATCTACTCAGAATCAATGCATTACTACTCTTGTCCGGAGGTTATATAAGATTATGTCGGTTCGATAATTTACATGGCAATGTAATTTTTTTGTTCGGGATAAAAAATTTAATCGTAGAAGAAAAGAAAAAAGGCAGAGTTTTATTTTGTTATTGTCACTGGACGAAGAAGGTGGTTAGAGTGACATCAATAGTGAGTGACGATATTGTGAGCCGAGGAGAGATTAAAAGTGTTTTTAGGATTGTCTGAAAGGTAAAATAAATAAATAAATAAATAAATAAATAAAAGTTTAGGGCTCAAGAGAAATTTCTCAAGAAAATTTAAATTGATATTTTATATAAAATTTAAAATTTAAAATTTAAATTAAAAATTAATCATTTTTAACATGCCACATCACATATATAATTAGATTTAACTACTTGATGTTTTATTTTATTAATATGAAATAAATACAAGGTAGTATATGTTCAAAGATAACTTCTAACCTTTTATTATTGAATACTCACACCCTAACATCTATGATGCTCATACACGGGTCCTCAATGAATAATAACAATTCATTTATATGAAATAATTAAAAGTTAAGCAGTCAAAATCAGAAGAAATCCAAATAAAATTAACCTTCGCTATAATTTACTCAAAACATTTGAAAGATAAATTTAGACCTTACAAATTTGACTCGAACCGATTTACTCAAACCGTGATCCGAAATAGACTCGAATATGATGACCCAAATTTAACTCAAAACTCAAACAAATCAAATCAAACCAAAACTGACATGAATTTTAACCAAAATAAAAATAATCCGAACCGAAAGCAACCTAAACTGAAAGTAACCAAATCAAAAGCAACCTTAACCAGAAGTAACTCGAATCTAATTTATCCAAAGCCGATCTAAAATGAATATCAATCCGATTTTAACCCGATAATTGAGTTAAAGTGTACAAATAATTTATTTGTATTATTATCTATTTTTTAGCAATGTGTTAAATAATAAACTAGTAAGATAAATTCAAGTATATATATTAATTATTTATTTGGTTTCAACTTTAATTATTTTTATTAATTAAATCTAACTTTAAAATTTATATATTTAATTAAATAAATTTAAATTAATTCATTAATTAATTAATTATTACGATAAAATTAATTTTTTTCATAAAATATTTTTATATAATATTCTAATTCTATTTCTATAAAATAATAATAGCTTTATCATCTCAGAATTTATGTTAAATTTTATTTAAATTTTTTAATTTTATTAATTTAATAGTAATTTATTAATTTAATATCTATTTTAGATTCCATTAATTAATGAACTAAAATATTAAATTAATCTTTAAATCATCTGAATAATAATTTATTATTCAATATTTCATTTTAGATTCTACTACCTTGTGATTCAAAATTATTAAATTGGTTTCTAATTTATTTAAATTAAATTATGATTTATTAATTTAATATTTTACTTTAGAACTACTAAAATAATTTTCTAAAATATTAAATTGATTTATAAATTATTTTAATTCCTACATATATATATATAATACAATTATTTAAACCTAATATAAAAAACTTATTTTTACAATATAAAGATATCAATTTTTATTTATAATTTAAAATTAAATATCATCAATGATATGATAATATAATATCATTTACAATTATATTTAAAAATAATATTTATTCAAACATAAATAGTATAATAATATTATTAAGTGTAATAAAAAATATCATATTTATAATTGAATGTTAAACATCTAGTTTAAATTTTAATTGATAAACACTCATATAAAAAAAAATTCTAATCAAATAAATCTTACCATAAATTTTTCTGTTCGGATCAATAAGAAAAATAACACAACCTCTAACATATCTTATAGATTGAGTTTAGGTTAAATTATAATCCCTAAATAATAATTTAAATTCCATGAATTAAGCATAAATGATAAGATTAAAAAAAAGATGAGTTTAGGTTAAATCATAATGTTAGTTGTTGATAGTCGGTATTCTCTATTATCTTTTTTCTTTATATCATATCTTTATTTCCTTTTGTCTTTTGATTTTCAATAAGTATGCTTGTATTACACGTTTTCATATGTATTTATGACACTTTTATTATGATTTTTGGCATTTTTTTTTTTTTTTGACCTTTTTTAATTTATTTTTTTTAATGGTTGATTTGACATCGTCACAATGATTAAGATAGCGTTTATCTGATATCTTGTTTTTCTTCCTATTTTGGACCATTGGATTGGATTTGGATACCTGATTTATGTTCGTTGATAGCTTTTCACGTCACTCGAATCTAATTTTTGGTTTGTCAGTGGTCTTTCAATAGTTTGATCTATTTGTGGTTTGTTTGCCGATATGCAATCAGATATGGTTGTTACTATCTTTGTTCGAATTTTTCGGTTAGATTTAATATTTCCTTACATGATCCTTTGTGATCTTAAGTTGCTAGTTTTGTTTCAATGATTAAGGAAATTTTGCTACTTAGTGCTTAATTTATGATTATGATTGTAAACTTTTATTGTAATTTGGATATTTTCTATTTTAAATAAAATTAGTTACTTCTATAAAAAAAAACATTTTTTTTACAAAAATATATTAATAATTATATATATATAATTGATTTGACTATATCCAACTTAACCCGAATTGACCCGAAAATTTAAAGTTAACCCGAACCAAAAATAATTGATCTGATATTAACTCTACTCGAAAATTAGTCTATCCGATTTGATCCAATCTAAAATAAATAGATTCGATATTGATTTGAACTGAAAATTAATCTATATGATATTTGATCAGATTTGATACTTAAACCTATCTGACTTATTATAACCCAAATAAAACTCAAACTGAAATTAATCCTACTCAACTAGAATTCAACCCGAATAAAGTCTAAAGTCAAGATGACCCAAACCGTACATTTTCCTACTTTTCCCTCTCACCGGAGCTTTCTCACTGCTAGCCGCCTCTTTTGTATCCCTCGTTGGACCCCATTTCAATTTCTTGTTCCAAAGGTCTTTCTTTTTTTTTTCCTTCACTAAATCGCTTGCCTTAATTTGTCTCCCTTTTTGGCGCTCGAAGTTGAAGAAAGGGAAACCCTAGAAAAATGGGGGAATCCACGAGAATGATCGATGTGGAGAAGTTGATATCTTATAGTGACGATCTAGTGGAGGTGTTGAGGGACAGAAGGGACATTACCAACGCAACGCAGTGTTTGAAGCACTTTACGATCTCCGCTCGCATTGCGACTCTGATTTCAAAGAAGTTTATCGATTGCTTCAAGGTGTCTTTCCTTTCTACTTCTCTTCGTTACCGCAGAAATTAAGAGGATAAGAATGGAAGTGAATGAAGATCTTTTCCTTCTTTTTATTTTTGAAATGCAGAATATGAAGAAAAGATCGAAGCTTGCAAGAAGAAAACAGAGCTGTCAAAGTCTGAGGTCGTCGATTGTGCTGAAATGGATTCTGCAGAAGGAATTCCAAGAGGAATTTGAAAAGAAAGTCGTCTTAAGGAGGAGTTTAGATAAGTATATGTATTTTTGGGAGTTTTTGTATGTATTATTTTTTAAAGCTTTGGTTTTTGGTGTTTGATTTGTTTCTCTTAAATATTCTTTTATAAGAACACGGCTATTTGCAAGGAGATAATGGAGCTGGAGCGCCAGAGAGGTTTGATTGAAGAACAGAAGAAAAAGCTAAGAAAATTTGAGCAAGACAATCTCAAAGAACAGTAAGTTGAGGAATTCCTATTTCTGTACCAATTCATGTTTGGTTGTTCATACACTGTTAACTGTTCTTTGCATGAATGTGTCTGGAAAAATAAGAGAAAGATCTTGACTTGAATTTCTTAACTTTATTTCCATGTATATGTTTCTTGGTGGGGTATTGTGGGCGTTTTTCCTTAAAATGATCCAGCCTCGATAATGCAAATGGGATCAGTGATGTTTGATTGATTTAGTGTTTTTTTTAATAGTTGTGTGATTACAAGGTTGTATCTAATCTGAACTTTCTTAGTCTAATGACAACGTACACGCCTGTACACACCTGCAAACGTATAGCCTGAATCCGAGACAGAACAATATTCCTTTTTATCACCGAGTCAACTTGGTGTGTTTTCTTTTCGTGTTTCTTGATTATGCTTTTATTTTAATTGATTTTTTTATCCTTTTAAGAATAGATTTGCTCTTTTTTGTAAGGGTGGTCCTTATCTAAAGGGGCATGAAATGGAAGCAAAATTTATATTAAAAAAACCCCTACTAAGATCTAGGTCTCTCAATTACGAATCATACAGTTTAAGTCTCCTATTTGTATTTTTTTGACGAGCTGAACTATCAATCCTAATATTTTCTTATCCCAAAGAAGTTGTAATGGTTCCCAAGCTGTCTTTTGTTGAGTCGGTGTCTAGAGTTCAGAAATGAATCATTGTTCTTTGATCTTGCAGGAGAAAGCTTTCGATGTATGCCTTTGTAACTAACATTATTCCAGACTTGGAAGACCAATCCAAAATCTCAGCCCATATCCTTCGGATAAAATATTACTTTTCCTTTCTTCTTGTTTCTTTGCCAATTATCAGTTTTTTTTCATATCTAAAGTTATTTTTATTGCTTTATGAGATTCTCCTTTATTTAAATTTACCACAGGTATAGTGGATAGAGATAAAAAGGTGTTTAAGAAGTTTGAATTTGACCCATCAAAAATGGCTGCTTTTGATGCTTGTGATAGCCTGTGGAAGATGATAAATTCCCAGTAACCATTGCTCATATTGTCTATGGTGGATATATGTAACAAAATATGTAATGTGTGTTTCTAATGCCTGTACACTTTTTTCATATTAAATGCTTGAACTCACGTGTAATAGATTATTTTGGTTCTTCGAGCCTTGGTAGAGCAACTTTGGGACTAAATTAAAAACTTTTCAAAATTGCAAGCAGGCTAAACATAGCAGGACTAAATTATAACAAGTATTAACAAATTTCAAACTAGACTTTTTTTTCACAAACAATACTGGTAAGGTATACAAATCACAAGGTGTTCTTGAGATTTGGACCCATCAAGTTCCTTCATGAATCAAGTATGCAGTTCTTGAATGGATCAAGTATGATTTGTACTTGACTGAATAAGAACTTGTCATAAGTGTCATTTCGGTCAATTCTTTTATGTTATATCTTTAAAAAAAAATTATAGGAATAGGGATCTCGTTAAACACCCCACTCATAACTTATTAACTCAGTAAGGGCTAAGAAAATAAGCAAGCGGAAGGGAGAAAAGATTGCCCAATATAAAAATAAAAAGATTTCAAAATACAACTTAAGAAGCAAACCGCAAATAGAACAAAAGATCCTAATAGGACCCTGAAACCAAAGCACAATGACTGAAAAACAAGGAGACAAGCAATAAAGCAGAACTATCCAATTCCAGATTTAGCCAAAGAATCGGCTTCACTATGAGCACACGTGGGATGAATCGAATGAAGTCGTTGAACGCGATTCGTTCAGTAATATTCTTAATAAAACTCGCGAAGCAAGGGGGAGAGGAGGCAGGGAACTTTACCCAGTCCACAGCAGATTGATTGTCCATTCAATGATAAGCGAAGTGCCCCAACCAAAATATCCTTTGAATAGGGAAGTAGCACAGCCAATGGCCTTGAGCTCAGCCAAGATAGCGAGACCAGGACCGATGCTTGAGGAGAAACTACAGAGAACCTTACCAGCATTGTTCGAAGGAATCCACTTTACCACCGGCTTGTTTAGAATGAGACATGGCACCGTCAACGTTGAATTTAAGAAAATCCTCCAGAGGAGGAGAACAAGAAATGGGTTTAGAAGGATTAACCACTCTATTTGAAACACAATCATCCAAGGAAGGGTCTGCAAAGATACCGTCTCTAAAATCGGAGCATTTGGAAATTTTACTTTGATATCAATTCGAAGCTTGACCAAGCTTTCCATCTGAGAGTAATCAGCGTCGCAACCATTAAATAATATATCATTTCTAAGCAACTGTACATTCCAAATAATACGAAAGGAATGAGTGACCGAATGGAACTAGAGCAATGCTTATGTGAGGACTGCCACTGCCAGGAGAGGAGAGCCAATGTAGGGTCTTGATTAAGAAAAATAACGATACCCAAAAAGCATACATCCTAGATTAAAGTTTCCAGTAGAATACCCAATAGAAGAAGAGATGGTCCACCCATTCTGCAGCTTTAAGACATAAAGGACAATGAGAATCTTAATGGTCGGGACACCCCTTTTAAGAAGTTCCACTCCGACCGGGACATGCTTTTGGATAACAAGTCAAAGGAAGATTTCGAATTTTAGAAGGGTGATACAGGGAAGTTCTGCCGTGCGGCGTTTATAAAATGGTGTGACCGGTTAAATAAGTGATCGGTTAAATTTAGACCGGTTATGTTATATCATTTAACCGGAATATTATTAAGTACAATAACATATTAAGTACTGCTTATATAATGTAATATGTAAGGCTTATAATAAAATAGGTTAATTACTAGAAATATTATCAAGCACAATAATATATTAGGTACCGCTTATATAATAAATATGTATCACTTATATAATAAAATAGATCAATTACTGGAAACATTATCAAACACAATAACATATTATGTAGCACTTATATAATGTAATAAGTAGCGCTTGTATATAAAATAGTAGCGCTTATATAAAAAATAGGTTAATTACTATAAACATTATCAAGCACAATAACATATTAGGTACCACTTATATAATGTAATAGGTAACACTTATATAATAAAAGGTTAATTACTGGAAACATTATCAAGCACAATACATATTAGGTAGCACTTATATAACGTAATAGGTAACGCTTATATAAATAGGTTAATTACTTAATTTGTATTACAACGTATTAGGTAAACACTTAAAATGTTACTAAGATACATATGGTTAATTATTATTTTAAAATAATTGTACTTTATTGATGTAATAACATTATTTTGTTATTACTTACTTGTACGTTATAAAAAAAAAAAGCTATGTTGATTATAATATTTTTATTCATTTATTAACGAAAAAAATAATTGCATCTTGTAATTAAGTTTACAATGTAATATAATAAGAATATTATTTGAAAATAAATTATTTATGAATTGTAAAAAATATTTATTATCTAATTATACATATTAACGTAATTTAAAGGACTTGCAAAGATTATTTTTTATTATAAGGATCTTTTGTTTTAATGACGTAAAAACTCATTAATACTTTTTATAATGTACAAGTTAAGTAATAACCGCTTATATATATTTTGTTAATTACTTAATTTGTTATTATAACATATTAGTAATACTTAAAATGTTACCAAGATATAATAAAATAATATTATTATTAACAAAATAACAATATTTTTTAAAATAAACATTGTAAATTACCTATTACATTATAATTATCGTTTCGATATTTTTGGGATCGATACAATTTTAATGTATCGACACTTTATGCGTGCACCTCGTTGGGCATTCATTCTGGAAAAAAGTATCGACACAAACTTAAAATGTGTCGATACATTATGTAGACATATTTTCTCATAAAACCGGTATATTTATACCGAGTACATTGTAAATTTACCTATTACATTGTAATTATCGGTTTCGATGTTTTTGGGATCGATATTTTTAATAAATGTATCAACACTTTATATGTGCACCTCGTTTGGCATTCATTCTAGACAAAATGTCGACACTTTTTAAATTTGTGTCGATACATTATGTTGATTTATTCTCTCATAAATCGGTATATTTATACAGGTTACATTATAAATTTACCTATTACATTATATCGATTTCTATGTAACATATGTCGATACTTTTTGAAAATGTATCGACACATATGTTTCACTATTCTATCATTATAATATAATTAAGATATATTATTCTTATTATAATAAATAATAATATAATTATAATAATTTTATTTTAATAAAATAAAATAATCATAATTTTTTATTTATAAATTATAGATATAATATTTTAATCGTAATATTGACAAATAATATTAAATAAATATTCTAAATTTTAAAAATAATATTATTATTTTGTTAATAAATAATATATTATTGTATTTGATGTTAATAAATAATTTTTTAAAAATTGTATAATTGTGTTTACTAATTTTATCATTAAAAAAATTTATTTTACCGGTTTTGTTATTGTTGGGTTAATAAAACCGATAAAAATTACCTAAAACATTATTATTCTACCTAAAACATCAATGTTTTTAACATTTCCGGTAAAATACCCAACAATAACAAAAAACCGGTAAAAAATAACAAACCAGTAATGCTTTACCTTTTTGTTAAAACAATGATATTTTCGGTATTTTTTACCGGTTTATTATGCACAACAATAATAAATCGGTATATTTTTACCCGGTAAAATGCCAAATAATAAAAAACCGATAGAAATAATGATATTTTCGGTAATTTTACCGGTTTTGTTATGCACAACAATAACAAAATCGATACACTTTTTTTAGCCAATAACAAAACCGATATCACCTCACGTGAACATTCCCATTATACCAATCCAAACAAAGATTTCCGACAATATTCTGACTCCGAGGCAGGTGAACTTGTTGAGCTAATAGTTTTAATAAAAAAATACCATTTGAAGGTGATCTTCTAAGGTGCGACACCTCAAATATACTACTAAAAAAAGATGTTATTGATTTTGTTATTTTTTTTTAATAAAATCGATAAAAATTTACCAAAGTATTATTATTTCTACCAGTTTTATTATAATTGTTAATTATCGGTGTTGGTAAACGTGGTAGAAAAACCCGATAAAAAATAATGTTTTAGGTAGTATTTTATCAGATATGTTACCAAAACCGATAAAACACCCAATAATAATAAACCGATAGAAATAATAATGTTTTAGGTAATTTTTTACCGCTTTTGTTAAAAAAATAATAACAAAACCAATAACGTCTTTTTTAACCGCATATTAAAATTGTTACATGTGATCATTTCCCCATTTGAAGAGCCGTTCCAAAATAACCAATCCTTAGTTAAGACTTGACTTTAAAGCTTCAAAGCAAGAACCAGAGGAAATTCCATGGAGTTAGTTCCAAACCGAAGAGGTTTCTCCTAAGAGGAATATCTCATAACCATACATCTTTGATTTTGGTACCAAAATCAGTAATTTTACATCTTTGGTTGTGGAAAAGAGCAAAGATGCGAGGGAAACGAAACTGCGGGGGAATTTTAAAGAGCCATGCATCTTTCCAGCAGGAAATGGAGGTCTCATCACCAACTTGAATCTGAAGACTTTTTCGGAGGCAAGAGCCCAGGGAATCATTAGCAGAAAAAAAAGCAGCAATGTTAGATCAAATCCATGAATATGCTCTCAGTTTTGGAGGAGGAGAGCGAAGGACCCTACCATCCGACTTGAGTTTACGAGACATAACTTGCTTCCGAAGGTTGTCTGGCTAATTACCAAAGCTTCATATCCATTTGTCAAGGAGGGCTATGTTTGAACCCTAAGTCAGCACCAAGGCCTCCCAAAGGGTGGGCTTGCAGATATTCGACCAGCTAACCCAGTGATTCTTCTTAGCCTCTGAGGATCCACCCCCAGGAAAAAAAAATTGACATTATACTGTTGAGTTCTTTAAGGATAAAAGCAGGAACCTTAAAGATCGAGAGGAAGTAAATTGGTAAGCTCCACAATATATTTGATCAGTGTCAACCTCCCATCGAGGGAAAGTGTTTGGACTTCCAGGTAGCTAATCTTGAAGAAAATTTCTAATGGCCGGCTCCCTAAATACTTTTGAGTTTCTCTTAGGGCCGAGTGGGAGACCGAAATAGTCAGATGAGAAGGAGCAAGTGGAGCAACCCAAAGATGAAGCTCAATTTACGAGATTTACTTCATCGTTTAATCCGAATAATCTGCACTTTTGACATTAAGAACTTGGCCTTGGGAACCACCCAGAAGATGATCGAATCATCCACAAATTACAGATGGGAAATACAAAGAGGATCGTTATTGTGCCCAATAGAAAAACCAAAGAATAAGCCATTTGTTTGCTTTATTTAACATTAGATTCAGGGACTCGCAATGATGTTGAATAGAAGGGGTGAGAGAGGATAACCCTAGCTCAAAGCTCTCGAAATTCTGAAGCTATCCGTAGAGCTGTCATTGACGATACTAGACATGGAGGCTAACGAGAGGCAGCTATGAACCCACTTGCACCACTTGTCATCGAATCTCATTTCTTTAGAACTAAATTGAGATAGTTCTAATTTACAGTACAAAAGTTTTTCTGAAATTAGTTTTGAAGACAAGCCCACTACGACCAGATTTAGAGATGTAATCAATGGCTTCATTAAACTATTAGAGAACAGTCGATCTACCGACCAGGAATAAAGGCGAACTGGGTTTTACTAATAATAGAATCTGCGTAGAGACAGATAATTTGCTAGAACCTTGGCAAGAATCTTGTAGACCCCGCCCACCAAACTGATAGGACGGTAGTCCTCCATAGAAATTGGGCAAGAAGTTTCGGAACAAGGGTGATAAAAGTGTGGAAGAGACCTTCATCATGATTGCGATGGTGATAAAATTCCTCGAAGAAGCGGAGGAACTCATATTTCAGATGCGGTCATTTTTTTTATGATAACCGGTGTTAAAACCATTTGGGCCAGGGGCTCCACTTCCATCACATGAGCTAAAAGCAAACTAAACTTCCTCCTCAGAGAAATTGTTAGTGAGCAATGCGTTTTGATCTGGGGTCATCTTAGAGAAATTGAGATAGAGATCATATATTGAGGGTAGAGGACGAGCTGTAGGATTGCTCACGCACGACTGATTTTACTCTGATGGGATCCGAAATTGCCTCACCCTCGTGGGAACGGAGGAAATGTAGTCTGATTTTCTTCTAGCAAGATTTGAGATGTGGAAGTATCTAGTACTTTTAGCCCCCCTCTTGAAACCATTTGAGCCTAGACTTTTGGAGTCATGCCCTTTCTTCTTCCCTATACCTTTTAAAGAGACATCTTGAGGGATTTTAGATCAATCGACAACGCAGGATTATTGTCTCCACTAATGATTTTACCTTCGACATCTAATTTTGTCTTCCAGAACTAGAATAGAATCTCTAAAATCGCGACATTGATTAGCTGACCATTCTTAATTATCTATGATTCATTGAGTAAGCCACCAATACCAATACTACTCTGCTGAGGGTTGTCTTGACAGTTTCTTCAAAAGACTTGTCATAGAACCAGTAATCGAAACATTTGAAGGGCTTGGGGGGTCCCAATTTAACCGCTCATCAACTAGAAAAATGGCGTTGTGATCAGGTATAGATTTCGCGAGTAATTTGTGTAACATTCGGAAAGGCTTCAAGAAAGTCTGCAGTAATGGAAGCGACTAATCGCACAAAGGTGGGAGGGGCACTGTTATTGCTCCAAGTACGAGGCCACCTTGCAAAGGTAAGTCGATTAATCTAATATTCCATGAAAAATCGCAAGATTCATCTAAAATTAGATAAGAACCAGAGAAAACCAAACCGGAATTATACCTTTACGAAGCTCCTGTTCAAGTTCGCAATTTTTTTTCAGAACCGCTTCTCTTCCCCCTTGAAGGAGACCTCTAAAATTCTACTAATTTCCCATACAACTGCTGCTCTTCCATGGAGGTAGAGGAAAGAGGTTTGATAGGAGTTGACTGGAGCGAAGTTCCCTTGTGCTGATCGCCTGATCCCTGATAATTTTCCTTATAAAACGCCTATGAGAGGCATTGGAAGGCCTGGGGTTGAAGTTAGGGAAACGGAACAGGGATTTGAGGAGTTGAACTGGAAGGATTTGTTCAGAGAGGGAGAGGGGAACCATTAGATCCTGGTTGAGCCAGTAAAGTACTGAAATACTCATGACCTTCAAGATAGTCTTAGACAAACTCGATGGATAGACCCATGTGATTATTTGAAGATATTAGCAAAAGTGTCTTAGACAATTTGGAAGTCCGAGCCAGTAGCAGAACAAGGATTAATAGCGATAGTGGGCTGCAACTGATGTAACCCAGGTAATACCAGATTGGCAGGCCCAACTAAATTCTATCTAGAGAACAAAATGGGTGACGAGGCCTCAAGAGTGATGAGTTAGAGGCAAAAGAAACCAAGGCATTCGATGAAGGGATAACTGTCCTATTTTCCAAAGGTAATGACGGCTCCCCCAGTGTATTACAGTTACGAGGAGACACGATAGAATTCCCAGAACCGATAGGAGTAGGGTAAACTGGGGAGCTAACGTTACTAGCCTCTTCAACTTCCACCGGAGCATGAACGTTTTGAGAAAAAGGATTCTCCGACCATATATCAGCGAAATTTTCACCATCTGAATCTTGAGCATTAGCAACATGGGCATTTTCAATGAGCCACAGTTATGGAGATTATGTATGGGTACCCTTGTAATGAAATTTTGACTGATTTAGGGATGGTGACAGAGCTAGTAACCCTGATGGTCATACAGGCAACATCGAGCCTATCCTTTTTGGTTTCAACATCCAAACCAATGAAGTACCCCTGTCTATTACCTAACGTAGAACATAAGTTTTCATTCCAACAATGGAACACCAATTAGGTTAACTTTACAAAACAGGTACGAGAGGCCATCTTCAAGCAGAACTGGAGCAAGGTGGTCAAACCAGAAGAATAAGGCATCCTTCTTATGAACCCAAGCATACTCAAGACTATCAGCCGAGTCAAAAGACATGATAGTTTATTCACACTCGAAACCCCATTGGGAGACTTTCACATTGAATCCTTAATTTAAAAGAGCTGTTGTACTAATTCAATGTCAAACAAACTTTTGATTATCCCAACCATACTATTTTTAAGCCACGAAAGCCCATCAACAGAGGGATGAAAGATCATTGAGCTAAGGTCATCTTGTTGATAATGATGTTATTCCCAGTAATAAGGGGAGCTTTAACCTTACCTAACAGTGCCTCACTATAAGTCCTTTGGTCTATGGGTTGGGCTGGTTTTGGGGAGAAGGGTGAAGAGTTGCATTGGAAGGTTCGTTTGGCATAGAGCTTAAAGGAGGCTTGGGTTTGCCAGCGGTATAGACCCAGGCTTAGGGAACATAGCTTTAGAGAGCATCACCGTCTTACCGTCTAGACTGTTGTTGACCTTCGAGATGACATGCTCCATATCAACGCGGGAGCCAAAGCTAACAAGGCGAAGGTAGGGAATTTGTATTTGGCCCTCTGGTTCACGACTGGAAGAAGACTCTGGTGAGTGGTGACCTTACCATGGAAACGGAATAGTTCCTTCAATGCAGACCTCGAGACTCTCCTACTTAGGTTGTCAACCAAAACCGTCCACCTGATAGCATTGATAGAATGTTTAATGCCCGGTTGAATCTTCTCCATGCTGATGCTCCAAGGGGCCGCGATTGGCGCTGCTACGAACGGTTGAATCTTCTCCGCTTCCATGACTTTGTCCACTTAGAGATCCTTAATTTGGATTAGATGATTTCTAACTCGAACAAATACACATATTTTGATAAACTCAAGTGATAAGGTCATACTTCATAGAGCAACAAATCACCAAAGATACTACAAAACTTGTAGTAGTACTAATACACCAGACGAATGCTTGAGAGAAATCGATAGCTTTGTTTTAGGGAACTCATGTTTCTGGGTTTAGGGTGATAAGCCCTAGTTTATCCTTAAATATCAGTGTTTTGAAAACCAAACCGGACCGGCCGATTCAATCGGTTCAACCGGGAACCGCTACTAGTGAACCAGCCGAAACCACTGAATCGTTCGAACCGGACCGGCTGAAAACCGAAAAAAACTGTCAATTTTGTTTTTTTTTTTAAAAAAAAAAATTAAACCAAACGACGTCGTTTATTAAACGAGCCAATTTGAACTCGAGTATTGCTGAGCTCGACTCGAACTTGAAAACTTTAAAAGTAAGCTCAACTCGACTCAAACTCACGAGCTAAAAATTATCAAGTTCAACTCGAACTCGAAATATAATATTGAAACTTGAACTCGAAAAGGCTTGAACTCAAAAAAAAAATTAGAAGCTCGATTAAAGCCTAAAATTCGAGTTTGATTGAAGTGAAAGAATAGTTCACTCAATGCTCACCAAAAGGCTCCATGATTTTGAATTTTAAATTACCTCTATTATTTATAGAAGTTAGTTGGGATGTTCTTCTATGTTTCTTAACCATGTGGAATTGTTTTTTTTTTAAATTAAACCAAACAAAATTATTTTATTATGATTTTTTTAGTCCCAAATTTATTTTTTAATTATAGTTATATAATTATATTTATTATTTAATATGTTTTACCTTAAATATTATGTTGTAGTTAATTTGAATCATTTTGTTTCACTTGATTTTATGGTTTTTAACTTATATATGTTATGACTTGCTTTGAATATGACTTGTGATATAAAAAATTATTTTTTATTAAATATTTTTGGGTATTTTTATTTAATTTTTTAAATAATTATGACGTCGTCCGGTTCTTTCGACCGGTCGAATTCAACTGGTTGAACCAATGAACTGATAGTATGGCCAGTTCGTTAACCGGTCTGGTTCTGAAAACCATGTTAAATATAGCATAGCTTCGTAAATAAGACATTATTAGACCATTTATTATGTTATTAGTCGGCTATTTCTTTCTCAAGTAACCCTTATCAATAAAATTTTGAATTAGTTGGCTATCGTATCTTTAAACTTATTTTATTACATTTATAAATGATGTATCTAAAAAAATCACAAATTGATTGTATATTAATTTAAGATTAGTTTATTTTTTAATTAATAAAATATGAAATATTGTTAATAATATTGTAATATTTTACAAGTAAAAAATCTAAAACAAAATATATAAAAAAGTTTACAATCTAACAATAAATATGGGGTTTATATTAACAATCAGTTAATGTAGTGGAATGAGACATTATGTCTCTTAAGTAAGATTAGGAGTTCGAATCTTGACGATTGCGAGTGGAACAAACTACGTTGGGAAAGTTACTATTGCCTTTATAGTACTCAATCAGAATTAATCGATCAATAAATAAGATATTGATGGTTATAAAAAAAATGAGGTTTATCCTCATGGTTAAGGCATGCCCAAGCTATGTTTTAGCCCCTAGTTCGATTCTTCTAAGTCGGCAGAAACAAATTGTTACCTTAATTTATTATGAAGTATATAAGGTGATGACACGTGTTATTACCTGAGTAGATATAAAATAAATTAATTAGTTTTATGTTTTGCCCCTAGTTTGATTCTCCCAAAATGCAATTCCTTGGTTCAAACTCCAACTTAAACAAGTCGTTATCATCATTTATCTTGAATTAAATAAGGTGTGACAAGTATTATCACCTGAATAGATATAAAATAAATTAATTAAAATTAAGAAAATATTTATAATTAAGAATTAAATATATAATTATACTATAGTGACTTGATTGAATGTGTTTAAATAGTTAGATGATCTTATTGATAAAATTTAAAAAATATGGTCACTGGTATAGTTTACCTAAACATTATTTAGGCATATTTCTTACTAATTAATTAAATTAAAAGAATGATAACGGCTAGCTATTTCAGAATTTAAACGGGTTTTGGGTGGAACTAATTCAAAATTTTTCTCGACAAAAGTTACTTGAGGAAGAAGTAGCCGACATATATATATAAATATAAATGATCTAATAATGCTTATGTATCACAACTGAATATATTTAGCGGTAAAGTAGGGGTCATTACCTAAACCCAGAAACCATTATCGTTCCTCCATTGCATAACAGAAGCCAGAAAGTCCGTATCGTTCGTAGCAGATCGCTGATTAGAACAACAAAAAGTACGGAGATGCTTCGCAAGAAACCAGTGATTGTGAGACAAGTCTTTGCGGATGGGTTGCAGTACGAGTTCGAGTTGATTAGGAGTGCAGTTCTTATGTATCGTTTTGTCTCGATGGATACTGAATTCCCTGGTACTATCTTTAAACCCAGTAAGCAAATCATCCAAGAAGGTGACCCGGCTATCAACTACGAGTATTTGAGATCCAATGTCGATGCGTTACAAATAATCCAACTCGGGTTCCTTTCAGACTCAGGGGTAACTTACCGGATTTCGGTACTGGGTTTTGCTATGTTATGGAGTTTAATTTCTCAAACTTTGATGTTGATGAGGATAACTGTGATTTGGAGTCGATTGAATTATTGAAGCGACAAGATACCGACTTTGTGAAGAATAGAGAAAAGGGTATCACTTCTAGTGATTTTGCGATACTGATGTGTGTTAGCATAATGAGTTAGTGCATGTTGTTTAGTGATTCTAGAAGTTTGTTAGCAGTTGAGGCTGTTAATATTTAGTTGAGGTTGTTAATGGTTAGTTACAAAGTCTGTTAAGACTATAACAACTATGAAGAGCTGTATATAAACAACAGAGGAGTTGTAAACCAGATGTGGTATTTATTTTCTGTTCAATATACTTGTATTTTGTGTTTCTTCACTAAATATTTAACATGGTATCATTCGCCAAACGGTCCTGATTTTATATTTTTTCTTCCGCTGCATGGAAGAATATGCCATTGGCGGCTGCCTCCGCCATCGTCTCAGCCAAGTCCATAGTCCAGCCTACCACAGTTAAGAAGAAACGATGGGAAGCTGCTGGAGCTTTTACTGGTGTTTCGGATCTCATAAACCAGTAAGCGAATTGGCCATGTTGTCCTTGTCCCTGAACCAGTGGCACTGGAGCTGCAGTTTCAACTGCTGAAAATGTAAGCAATCTGACTGGCATTGTAATGCCCTTTATCGCCCCTCCCTCATCTCCTGTATCATTCCTGCAATCGGGTTCTCCATCTGCCACCCAATCACCGGCTGGATTGCTATCCCTAAGTGCCCAGAAACTATCGATGAAAAGTCTGTTAGAGTTACAACCGAGGAAGCTGCCCATAAGTCCCTTCGCCAAGTTGTTGCTCGTTTCCTTCACTGCCACATCGGCGTAGAAAGAAACAAACATTTAAGGGAATGAATATATTCGTACATCTCAATCAAACATGATATTAACACTTTCCTTGAAACTGTAGAATGTTTTGTACATATCAAGGGGCTTTTTCTCTATTCATCTTTGCCCCATTAAGGATGGAATTAAAATGACAAATTCATGTGTAGTTTGGTAGAGCCAAAATTGTCACCTTATGTACCATTTTAGACATCCCATAGCCACCATTAACATAGCTCTAATGGGATGCTTCTATGAATAGCCTCTAAATGGGATGCTTCTATGAACCAGTTGGTTTGTACGCTGAGCCTTTCCCCTCCGAAATGCGATAAACAGCGTTCTATTCATTTAACTTAACAAGCTGATTTCCTGAAAACTCTAAAGGTAATAGATTCAAGCAGTTACGGATTGATTCTAGATGGATAGAAGTCCGAACCAGTTAGCACTGGAATCATACCTGGATTAGGAGACTCGGGATCTTTGGAACTCTCGTGATCTTTGTTCTGCCCGCTGTTTCCGGGCACGGAGGAGTCCTGAGATGTGGATGGGTCCTGAGAAATGGACAAGTCTGGACAAAGTAATGGGAACTGGCAATATGATGTACGTAACAGCTTTATATCTCTTTTCCCTACCCGAATTCTCATCTTGTCTATCCTTCTCTATAAGAACTGAACAGCCAAGCCATCACACCAAAAAGATGGTTAGAGTCCGAGATCGAGGGCGAGAGAGAGTTTGATTCTTACCTGTGCAGGACTTCTCTTGAAAACAGGGAAAAACCTCTGCCTACAGTACTCATTGACAGAAGAGTTAGAAATATTAGAGGAATGGTGAAACCAGAAGCAACCGGTGATCTTTTATACCAAAGACCCCAAGGGCGATACTTGGGTCAACACTAAAGAGAAGATTGTTGTGTTGTGAACGATAGGCCAAAACAGTCCCCCACTTTCATATTCTGGTACATACATTGAGAATCTGGGAAAGAAAAGACAAAGGCATGATCAAGAATACGTAGAGATTGAATTCTTCTGAAAATCTCTTGCACTTAATGGCGTTAATATCATCATGTTGTTTAGTGATTCTAGAAGTTTGTTAGCAGTTAAGGCTGTTAATGTTTAGTTGAGGTTGTTAATGGTTAGTTACAAAGTCTGTTAAGACTATAACAACTATGAAGAGCTGTATATAAACAGCAGAGGAGTTGTAAACCAGATGTGGTATTCCTTTTCTGTTCAATATACTTGGTCATAAATCAACGTCCATTGCCGGTTCATATCCAATGTTTCATGAGAGAATTGGTTTATATTTTTGGTCGGGGGATCTTTGATATCAAGCATACTTTCAAGTTCTTTGACTTGTTTGGTTGTTTGGAGAATGTGGCGGAGATGTTAAACGTCACTTGTCTAGCTGGATCGATTCGACAGCCTGCTCACGCTTCACTGCTTCATGGAGTTGAAGAGATCGGGAGTTTTTAGTACACCGAGCTTAACATGCAGCCTGCACTTGCACTATATGGCCTGATTTGAGTTCCAGTATGAGAATTCTTTTTGCTTTTTTTTGTAATTTTCTTTCGTCCATAGACTTTATAAAAATTTCTTAGCGATTTCAGTTTACTTTTGCTTTTAATTTCAAGATTGTGTTACAGTGGATGAATTTAGAACGGAAAAACTTAAAATTTGATTAGTTCGATTTTTAGAATTGTAAACTCGAACTAATCAACTGCTTACAGGTTATTTGCTCAAGGAATTAACCCATCACGGCCAACTAAAGTAGAAAAGAAACATTTAAGGGAATAAATAATATTCGTACATCTCAATCAAACATGATTAACACTTTCCTTTGAAACTGTAGAATGTTTGAGTGTACATATCAAGGGGCTTTTTCTCTATTCACTTTGCCCCATTAAGGATGAGAATTAAAATGACAAATTCATGTGTAGTTTTGGTAGAGCCAAAATTGTCACCTTATGTACCATTTTAGACATCCCATAGCCACCATTAACATAGCCTCTAAATGGGATGCTTCTATGAACCAGTTTGGTTTGTACGCTGAGCCTTTCCCCTCCGAAATGCGATAAACAGCGTTCTATTCATTTAACTTAACAAGCTGATTTCCTGAAACTCTAAAGGTAATAGATTCAAGCAGTTCGGATTGATTCTAGATGGATAGAAGTCCAGAACCAGTTAGCACTGGAATCATACCTGGATTAGGAGACTCGGGATCTTTGGAACTCTCGTGATCTTTGTTCTGCCCGCTGTTTCCAGGCACGGAGGAGTCCTGAGATGTGGATGGGTCCTGAGAATGGACAAGTCTGGACAAGTAATGGGCTGGCAATATGATGTACGAACAGCTTTATATCTCTTCTGCCCTACCCGAATTCTCATCTTGTCTATCCTTCTCTATAAGAACCTGAACAGCCAAGCCATCACACCAAAAATGGTTATAGTCCGAGATCGAGGGCGAGAGAGAGTTCTGATTCTTACCTGTGCAGAACTTCTCTTGAAAACAGGGAAAACCTCTGCCTACAGTACTCATTGACAGAAGAGTTAGAATATTAGAGGAATGGTGAAACCAGAAGCAACCGGTGATCTTTTTATACCAAGACCCCAAGGCGATAACTTGGGTCAACACTAAAGAGAAGATTGTTGTGTGTGAACGATAGGCCAAACAGTCCCCCACTTTCATATTCTGGTACATATACATTGAGAATCTGGGAAAGAAAAGACAAAAGGCATGATCAAAGAATACGTAGAGATGAATTCTTCTGAAAATCTCTTGCACTTAATGGCGTAATATCATGCATTTAAAAATACACAACGTAAACGCCTTGTAACATAAATGTGAAAATTATAGAGACAGATTATGTTTCAGTACTTTCAAGTATAAAAAAACATTAACATATTCTATAACATCGAGGACATAGAAGCTTAGAATGTAATTGCATGAAGAAGCTTTGCCAGAGTTACTGATAAACAACTGTTCTATAAACAAGGTTCACATGTAGATACTCAAGCTTGGAATATACTTCCGTGAATGGCTCTCGCTAAGGGGGTTTTGGCTGATCACTCAAATGAAAAGCATTTCAATCCGAAATGATATGTTTAACAATTTGTAATCAAGAATCCTATTCTCTTGGCTTGGTTCATTAGAGTGAATAAAGCAAAGGCAGCACATCAAGAAACAATGTTGGCACAAACTGAACAGATACAACAAAATGCACTATTATTTGATTAACAAAAGAAGGGCACAAAATTGGCAGAATACACACCTGGTTCCGATAGACAAGGAAAGCAAGAAGAAGTAAACCAGCAAGAACGGCATATTAAGGGTGCATGATAGAACAAGTGAAGCCAAGCAGTCCAAACAGAAGTCGTGGAATTTCAGTATGGTGAGGGAAGGTTAGAGCAGAGCTAGTACATGGCTCTTCCTGCGTTCTTAGTATTAATCTTTGTACCAATTGCAAAGAAAAGGAAAAGTTGTATTACTTCGCAGGACAAGCTTGCCCAGCCTGATGTTAAACATAAGTCGTAAAGAAGGTAGCCTGCATTTACTCAAGAAGATAAGAACGACTGTCAAAATTCCGGAAGATTAAGTCCCATAGAAAAACCAAGAGGTATTGCTATGCAGGCTTGTTAAACCCAGAAGTTGGCTATCGCACTTTTAGTACTCATGAAAGATAATGTTTCAAAAGTATAATTTAGATTAATATAAAAAGAGCATATGACGCATCTGTTGCAGACCAAGATAAAATCTAAATCTAAATGCATCTGAAACTCTGCCATGAAGTTGGAAGAATGAGGTTCTATTAAACAGGATATTATGGAGGGGCGTGGAAAGTTACCTGGGTTGGCACGCTTTGGCAAGTTGTGTAGGTATATCTTTAACACTTGAGAAAACACTCAACTGTCTAATTATGGATCCAGAAGAACATTAACAAAGAAACATTCCAGATTGTGAAACAGGACCTTGATGCATGCACTTTTTTTCCTCTCACTACGTGAAACAACTCCCTCAATTGTTGAAAACAATCATGGTTGGTGGAACAGCATACATAAATAACATCAGAATTACACTTGGTAAGTAACCTGTTACAAGCTGGTTCATGAACTTCCTGCACATATGAACAAACAGGATGGTGCACAATAAGTCAAATCTATTCTCTCCACTAATAACCAAGAAACAGCAAATTATGATGAACATAACAAAACAAATTACTTCTGTAAGTTGGTCAATTGGAAATTATTGTACTAGCTCCTGAATAATTTCTCAATTGTTCATATAAATAACATATATATAGAACCAATTAAAACACAAATAAGAAACAAAAATTATCTGCAATACATAATGCATTTCAGTTGTCAGAACAAAATATTGCAGCAGATTAAACAAGGAACAGAAAGCGAAGGACCTGATGATCAAGGGATATTAATATTTATTCTTCGATTTACATCTAGTTCTTATTTATACATTGAGATTGTCTTGTCAGAGCCTTCACAATGGGTCTGTTCTCAGTATATGCCACAACATTTTAAAAATATTCATGCATAATGTTCATATCATCCCAATGCACGTGAAATTCCAAGACTATTTTCTATATAATTTCCAAAAACAAGACAACACCATCTATTCCTGGATTCTGATTTCCTTGAGAAGTCAATAAAATAAAAAAAATGATCACATAAGAGCTTAGAATGGTAGATATAGCAGTACAAAAGGGTTTAAAGTATGGTCTTTTCATGCTTTATTTCATATAAATGCATATTCTAACTTGATGCAAATTCCATAATCTATTTGTTGCATCAGGCATCAACCACAACTGCAATGTGTAATGATAGCAACATAACAAAAACTAACAACCTAACACAACTTTAGCGACATAGTTAGTAGAATGATACTTACTGTTCCAAAATGCCTGTAAGAAATGGAAATGTTTGTCTTAACTGGTCTAGTTGAGTCAAGCCTTGTACAAATGTAACAGGAACAAGGAACAGAAACATAAAAACAATAGCACCTAGAAGAGTTGCTATTTTACGGAGCCAAACTTGCTTGTAGGGTATGGAGAGGTTGACCAATAAACATCATTTGGCTCAGGGGCTAGTTGTGTCACCCATAACATGGGATTGATGATTGAAGAACTTGCTGCAACAACAGCATCATAACGAGTCCTGAAGAAAACAAAGCGCCGGACGTTCCTGTATCAAAGACAAAGATAGCATAGGATATCAGATGGCCATTTCAATCAAAGGTTTAAAAGTTAGAGATCAATATGTGATTCAAAAACCATCCAACACATGCTAGCAAAGGGAATGATAAGATTGAACCACATAGGGAGAGTCTCCAGAGAAATCAAGAAAAAGATCATGAAGTGGGAAGCAATAACAGTTTAAAAGTAAGTGTTAAGATGATGTAGAAGGCAGCCACTATATTTGACATACTTACAATAGTTAGAATTATCAATTACAGTAAATACTGGCATAAATTCAAACAGCAGAAACCAACTTGCTCAAATTCAGAATGAGATTAATAACATGTAAGGTAACCCTTCAAAGGGCACGCAAAATGCTTTTAATAATCAAATGACAGCATTGCTAGGGCGGGAAAGATCAGATCTACACTAGATCACAGTAAACTGATGATGTTTATAGCACGTAGAAATGGTCCAGAGATATAAAAGCAAAACGACATTGATGACTGAGCAATCACTGAAACAAGTTAACTTTTGGAAACAAACTGCCAAAAGGAATATACAAATTATACACGACTACTATAACACTTTAATCAAAATTATTAGACTACTTATTTGAAGATTTTCAACCTATCTGTTTGACTTGGTTGCAACCCATCACTGCTGCCTTTACGCCCAACACTTTCTGCTTCATTTTTTAGCACCTTGAAGGAATGCAAAAGTCCACCACGAAAACAACATGGCATAGAACTCCCTTTATTCTGCAGCTCAATGGTTTTTAGCTTTTTGTACATCTTCTCTACATCCTTCTGCAAAGACAGCAATGTTTGAGAATATATAGAACCTGTTACAAATTATAAAATAAACAGAACATTGTGTGATGCAGTGGAATAGAATAAGAATAGGAAAGGTGAAATTCAAGTTTATTTCAAATAACAACAACAACCAACCAACCAAATGAAAATGAGAAATTGGAAAATTCAAGTTAAATACAATGTACTAGCATCAGCTGATCAGCAATCTAAATCCTATCTTATTTTCTAAAATAAAGTAAAAGTAATTGTACAGCAAGTAGTGCCAAGTCATTACTGTAGAAGGCGTCGGGGAACAACATGATGAAGCTACGTAGGGAGAAGAGTTTCTATAAACAAATCAAGAAAATAATCATAAAGTTGGGAAAGAAATAACAGTTTACAGAAAACTGATCACATAACGTAGAAGGCCACTACTATATCCCATATTCTTATAATGATTAGAATTAACAGTTACAGTAAATGCCGTCATGCCTGCTATCAAAACAGGAGGAAACTAGTTGCTCAAATTCAATAATACAGCTTTCTTTTTCACATCATAATTATCTAAAAAAGGAGGCACCAGAACTAGCATTACGCCAAGGTTGAGATTATTAACATGTTAACCATCAAATCAAATATGCAAATTGCTTTTTAGCATCAAATGAGGGCTATTGCAAAAGTCGCAAAGATCAGATATATATCCAGTAGGATTCTTTGATATCAGAGGAAAAACTAGATAATGGTGAACCGATATGCCAATTGCACATTAAAATAATCCAGAGGAGATACAAAAAGTAAAATGACTGATGACAGAACACTATCAGAGACAACATAACTTTTGGCAATGAACCATTGGAAAGGAATAAAAAAACTGTATATAATACTATAACCAGAAATCAAAAGCATATTCATTCCAAGATTTTCAACCTTTTCAAGCTTCTCTCTTTGAATTGGTTGCTGCCCATCACTACAGGTTTTACTCTTAAAACTTTCTGCTTCAATGTTAAGTGACGTAAAAGAATGTGTAGTTCCACCACAAAGACAAAATGGCATATAACTCTCTCTGTCTGCAATTCAATGGTTTTCAGCATTCTGTACATCTTTCTGCGTCTTTCTGCAAAGAAAATATTGTTAGAGAATATACATAGAATTGTTAAATATTATAAACAAACAGAACATTGCATGTGCATAGCAGAGTAGAATGAGCATAGAGTAGGTGAAATACACATTATTTTCTAAATTACTCGGTTGAACTAAAAAGAAACCCTAGTCAAGACAAGCAAATAAAAATGAGAAATTGGAAAATTCAACTTAAATGTA